AACGTGTTGCACACTGTTGCACTTTAATCCATAGCTTTCTTTCCGCCGTCATCGTAGGTCACTCTAAATGCAAAGTGGTCCCATACAGCAGACCTATAAAGTGCTGCTGGCGCGTCTTCCAACTCCTGTTCTTTCCCACTCACCATACCCACACAATTCTCCACAACAACAGATTTTTTTCTGCTACACCTGGCTACGCTGCTTCGCTTCTTCTTCTTCTTGTTTACTACTGGTGGTTGGTTTGGTCGCAGTACCGCCACATCTGCTCTGGAGTGTACACGCTTCCATGAGAAAAGCAGCGCGTGAACCGAACGCAACACACGTGAATCGAACCGAGACAGTCGAACGGACGGTTTTTATAAACCGTTCCATCCCTACTGTCACTCTCCCTCAGATTGGGGCTCCATGCAAGATCTCACCTCGTGGGGTCTCAGTGATCCTAAAGGTGAGAAACCAGCCTAGAAATACACAAGAGGAGCTGGTCAATGACCTGGAAAGACCTGGGATCACCGTTTCTAAGATTACCGTTGGTGATACACTAAGACATCATTTGAAATCATGCATGGCACAGAAGGTTCCAATGCTTAAACAGATGAGTCATGGGAGAAAGTCATGAGTGTCAGATGAGACCAAAATAGAACTTTTTGGTCATAATTCCACTGAATGTGTTTGGAGGAGGAAGAAAGATGAGTACCATCCCAAGAACATTATCCCCTGCTGTGAAGCATGGGGGTGGCAGCATCATGCTTTGGGGATGTTTTTCTGCATATCAGAAAGAGCAACTGCACCGTATTAAAGAGAGGATGACTGGGGCCATTTATTGCCAGATTTTGGGGAAAAATCTCCTTCCCTCAGTTAGAGTATTAAAGACGGGCCGAGGCTGGGTCTTCCAACATGACAATGACCCGAAGCACATAGCCAGGATACCCAAGGAGTGGCTCTGTTAGAAGCATATCAAAGTTGTCATGTGGCCTAGCCAGTATCTAGACCTAAACCCAATAGAGAATCTTTGGAGGGAGCTCAAACTCTGTGTTTCTCAGCAACAGCCCAGTAACCTGACGGATCTAGAGAAGATCTGTGTGGAGGAGTGGGCCAAAATCCCTCCTGCAGTGTATGCCAACCTGGTGAATAATTACAGGTTTGACCTCTGTAATTGCAAAAAATGCTACCGTACCAAATATTAACATTGATTTTCTGAGTTAATACTTTTTCTAAGACTTATTTGCAGCTGTATCATACAAATAAATAGTAAAAAAAATATATATATCATATATTATGATTTCTAGATAATGTCTCTCATTGTGGACATGCACCTACAATGATAATTTCAGAACCATCCATGATTTCTAAGTGGGAGAACTTAGAAATCATAAGATAGCAGGATGTTCAAATACTTATTTTTCTCACTGTATCTTATATCACTTGAGTTGCACTTTTATTTCACAAAATGTTTTATTAAAATATAAAACATTTTGTATTGCACATCCCTGGGTGGGGGGACGTATTTTATTATGGATAGATGGTAATGTAAAACCAAATCAGTAGATAAACAATCTGTCTAAGAAAAAGGAAAAAGTCAACTGAGTAGAGAGTAAAAGAGGCTCCATTCACCCCAGAGGAAGGTGGTGGGCTAAAGGAATGAGCAGAAGGATGTGAAGGAGGAGAAGGGAGGTGCACGTTCTGAGTGTAGTGGTGCCAGCTAACACCACTTGAGATCAAAACAGACGTTTTTGAGGTTCAAACTCTCCTAATTAACAGATATAGCATGCTCAAAGCATCAAACGACTGAGGTAAACAGCTCTTTGAAGAGATTCAAATATTGCCGTCTGTTATAATGTTGCACAAAATCCTTCCAGTCTTAAAGTTGACTTTGGAGTCAATGTTCAAAGAGATGGTATATTTTAATAAAGCAGAATATGAAATGCAGACCTCTGGGGAGAGTGGGAATCACCTCCAAAGGTGGTCATAGTTCAGAAAAGTGCAGCCCAAAAGCAGCAATATAGTGAAGGACCCTCAAGCTCCAAGGGTTGACATGAACCTCCCCAACCACCAAGGGGAACAGGAAAGGTGAGAGAAGAGCTTATATATGTAAATACCCCTTTGATCCAGAATAGAGTTTATAAATCACCTTCTCAAATGTTAAGCTCTAAATAATGAAGCTCGAAGCATTAGAGATGTGGTTGCTGCATATGTTCCTAGCAGAGCATTTTGTTCCCAGACTGCAGGTTTACTGCTGGTTTCCAGAGGTTCTAAAAGTAGAATGGGAGGCCTATGTTTTAGTTTGTAAGGCAGACCCTTGTTTATAAGGCTCTTAGTTACGTTATTTCTGTAGTAATGTGCAGTTTAAGGCCTGCAGAACAAATTTAAACACTGAAAAATAACATTTCTCCCTCTAAAGTGAGACCTGGACTGAAAATATAGAGTAAACTCTTCAGCATGTTGGTCCCACAGAGCAAGCTAAAAAGTAAATGCTAACATGGTGGCTGCATCACCTGTTCCAACATGTTCTGCAGTCTCTCTGCCTCCAGGTCAATGACAAACTTCTTCTCCTGTCGCCGGCCCAGATCCTCCAGCAGCCGGCGATAGTTGGCATCGTTGAAGCTTTCCACGCAGATGGCGCTGACCTGCCAGTTGTTCTGTCCAGCTTTCTCCATGATGGCCTGCAGGATGGCGTACCCTGAAAGAATCAGACAGAGAATATGAAGATTGGGGTCTGCAATGTTATACCTTAAAGCTGTCTCATTCTATAGCATCGATATTAAACATATTAGATAGAGAGAGTCTTAGTCTTAGCTTTATTTATTGAACCAAACAGGCAAATGGGCTCTGAGCTCTGCTCGTTTGAAAGACTTACACTAAAGAGCTGCTACTGGCGCAGCAGAAGCTCTCGAGGAATCCAAGCATCGAATGGGGAAAGTTTTTGAGCAGTAAATTGGTGTTTTAGAAGATAGATTAGGTGTAGATTAGATTTAACCGTAAAACTGTTTCTTGAACTGATGTGTATCTAAACTCACTGCAACTGGCTACAGAACTACAGGCTACAGAAGCATGTTGGTCGGTTCTATACACAGAAGCATCACGTCATGTTTCCTGGGTGATTTTACAATACCTATGAAAAATTATATAAAATAAAACAATTAATATATATATTTATATAATAATTTGCATTTATATTATAATTATAATAATTTAATAATTTAATTAATTTAAGTGATTTCCCTCTGGGATTATTAAAGTATTTCTTATTCTGAATTAATTAAAATTAATTGAACATTATTGATCTCACAATAGAGAAATTAAGTCTCTGCATTTCACCCATCCCGTTTGTGGAGCAAAGGGCTGCCATCGTGCGGCGCTCGGGGAGCAATCGGGGGTTAAGGGTCTTTGCTCAGAGAGCCAGAGTGGCAGTCTGTGGGATTGTATTTTAAACTCACAGCCTCAGGAGGTCCAAGCCCTATGCCTTGACTATTAGGCCACCAATCTCTCTTTTTGAAGGGTCAGCAACTAATGATTATTTTTTAAATTGTTTAATCTGTTGATTATATTTCCGAAATCAATTAATAATCATATAGCCAAAGGTTCCATAAAGAAAACTTTTTGCAAAATTAAACCAGGTGAAACTAAAACTTTTTCACTTCAGGAGTTCTGGATAGAGCATATAGACAGGCAAAAATGTTTTTTATGTAAAATGCAAAATGTTTAAAATTTTTCCCCCCACAATTTTGGTATAAGTGCTGCTCAAGGTGGGTTGCTCTGCCTGCTAAAATAATATTTTAAGGTCTCTACAGCCCAGTTAACAATTAATCGATTACTTAATTAGTATACGATTATTTAAATAATAGATTAATCATGATTAATCCAATCACTTGTTTCAGCCCTAACTGCAGAGCCACCAGCAACTCTGTATTAAACACAAGGAGGCCGCAAAACTAACGGCTCACTGAAGCAAGATTGCAAGACTTGTGCAGTAAATTGTTATAACAATAACCACAACATGTAGATTACCCCTTCAAGCATTCAAATCAAACCACCTCCTATGTCTTATAGGCCTCATAACGCTCTGAATGCATTTTCAGCCGCATATGCAAAATGTTTCAGAGCAATTATTCTTCCAGTTGGTGCTTTTCATGCTGCCTAAATGCAAACAGGATATTGCATGAAACAAAAAGCAATAATCTTGTCAGCTTGGATTTACATTGTTTTCATAAACTCATTTTATTTTAGTATTTTTCTACACACTTATGCAAACCTATTAAAAAAAAACAACAAGCTTTATAAAACACCTTTAGCACACGTTTAAATACCTGTATTTCGTTTAAAATATTACTCCATATGCAGACAGCATCTATTATTTATTTTATTTTATTGTTTCTGCTCTCTCGATGCAATTGTGTCATTGTTAGAACTTAGCTTCTCCATATGTTTACTGATTAAACCAAAGCAAACAGCTTGGAGTAGAGAACACATAAAGAGATTAAACATCCTGCCCAATGTTTATAATTGCTGAATTGAATGAGAAAATGTTTTTTTTGTTGGCAAAAGAATTGTCAACTGATGAGCTGCTTCCCATGCTGAAAAAAATATATTCTTATCTTTTTCCAGCCAGATCCTGGATTCTGGTTCATTTAAGGGGGAGAAGTCTCCCTAAGTCGGAGGTAAAGCCAACTTTGAGGGCCTCTCGGCTGTCAGGTTTGTGTTCGAGGAAGATGAGTGTCAGAGAGGAAGGGACAGGGAGCTGTGAGGACGGCTGTTCTCCAGCAGGAACAGATGTCCCCCTTAAACGGCCCCTCCTGGTGGCCATCACAATCTGGCAACCCGTCTCCCTTTGCTCCCAATTAGTGGTTTAACCTGTGCTCTGGCAACCTGTCTCCCTCTACACCTCCTCTATCCCCTCCTCAGCCCTTCGCTCACCATTAGAGGGTTGTTGGTGCCAAGAGGGACAAACAAACACTAAGCGCAAACACACACTCAAACTCAAGTATAAAGCATGTGAGAATATCCCCAGTCGTCCCTACGGACAGAAAACAGTTCATGGCATTTTGGCTTTTTTACAGCCAAACCCCCAAATGGGACCAAACTGTTTCTAGTTGAAAGGAAAGATAAATGAGCTTGTGTGCCAGAAACAGGAAAAACACATTTTGGGACATTTTTTTTTAGCATAATATTTCCGCATGTACTTACAGCTGTAAGATTTTATAAAATACAAAAAGCGTAAAAAATAAAATAGAAATAAATTAATTTGTTTATACAAAAATAACCTGTTCTTCATTGGTGCAGCAGAAAAACATACAGAAAAAAAGGGCACTGCATTTTCTATGGGGCTCTTCTGACATTTAAGCTCATGTAATTCAAAGTATTAAAGGGGTCATAGAATGCAAAACTGAGTTTACGTTGTTATAAATGAATAACGATAGTACAGTGGTCGAAATGGACGTACAGAGAAGTTCAAACCCAATCGACACCTTCTCTCTCTGCAAATCTCACAATTCCAAAGTTCCACCATTAAAAGGGGCGAATCCAAACGAAGCACCGAGTTGATGTAAACTCAGCGATGATGCCTTATTTGATTCTTGGACTTATTTGAACCAGCCCAGTGATTCACTGGTCCAAGAATATGAATAGAGGTCTTGGAGATGCAAGTCATCACCTTTTTTTTAGCTGTTTAGCCTGCAGTTTACTTATACAAGAATTACAAAGCAGGCAGTTTATCGAAAATGAGCCAGAACCACAAGCGTAAATGCAGTGTTCCAGGCTGCATGGAGAAAGGGTAACATTTTCACAGTTTTTTATTTTTTTTTGATTTTATATACTCTAATAATCCCAGAGGGAAATTACTCAGGATTTAAAGCTCTATGCCCCAACCACTAGACCGCCACTCCCCACCTTTCCCAAGGATCCGAAGACTCGACAGTCATGGATTATTTCTGTCTATCAGAAGATCCCTGCAAAGTTTGACGCTCAGCTGTTCATTTGCTCTAAGCATTTTACCAAAGACAGCTTTCAATTTGCTAAACTTCTTTTAGTGAAATGAGGGGCTGTTCCTACCGTAAGACCATCACAACTGCAAGCTGTAAGAATTTATTTTGTCGCTAAGCTGTTCAAAGCAATGCTAGCATATCTAGGGTGAACAGATTAGGGTTTCTGAAAAGGAGGACAGAAACCCAAATCTGAGCAGCAGCTGAGCGGGGAGTAGGGTTAGCTGCACTGTAGTCGACTCTAAATCCTGGACGATTTTGAAACTCACCCCGGACATTTTTTTAGGTATGAAAAGTAGGACATGTCCAGGAAAAAGAGGATGTCTGGTCACCCTACCATATCAGCAATTTCAATGTTTCAGTGAGTGAGTGCTTGTTGCTATGATACGTCTTTGCTCAGCAGCTTCGCTCGTTGTAAACCAACCAATCAGCTCACAGCTCATCTAAATATTCATGAGCATACCATAAAAGGAAGAAAACCTGTAGTTTCATTCTAGGGCTTTTAACCAGGCTTCCATTAGTGCTCACAGAACAGCAAATATGCCATTTTCAGCCCAACTAATGTTACACACCCTATTCAGAGACTTCAAGAACCAGCACCAAATACCCTGTAGAATCATTATATGACCATTTTAAATTCCATTTTTCCAAGTAATTAGCCTAGTCTGATTTATTTCCTTATTGTCAGGTGGCACAATCAATTCTATTTATGAGCTTTTAGCTTTATAATTCCTCCATTTTCTATGTTTGGTCCTAGTTTTGAGGTAAATTTTATAGTAAACAGATAGATGTCCTCTGAAGTAAAAGGAATGGGAAAGAAAAATCAATAAATTTCTGGAGGATGGCTGCTCACCTACTGCTGACCCACTTGCTTTGCAAAACACTAATAGGCGTGAGCTGCTGGGGCCAAACATCTCAGGAAATACTTTTGGTGTTTTCAGGAATAAAATGTCTAATCCACAAAATCAACCACTAAATTTTGGCTTCAGTTTCATCACATTATGGTTACTGCCCCTCATTATCTACAGGCTATGTATTGATCTTAATATTATTATTTGGCCCGATAATGATAAATATGAAAGAGCAGCAGCTGGGTGTTAAACTGAAATCATTACACTGTCCATGACAGCAGCATGTAGAAGTGTGTGGATTTATTTCCATGGATCTAGTAACTGACCTGTCATTTGTGGTAAAATGTAAAAGTTTTGTCCCTTTTTAGGTCAAAAAGACTCTTTTTGCAAAACTTTTCTAAATAAGTGATGCTGTTTAATTCAATTTAATTCAGTTTATTTATATGGCGCCAATTCACAACACATGTCACAGGAAAGCCAGTTAATTGCATCGACTCACTGACTCAAAGATAATCTCTCACACTAAGCATGCTTGTAGCGACAGTGGAGAGGAAAAACTCCCTTTTACCAGAAAGAAATCTCCAGCAGAACAAGGCCCAGTTTGAGTGGCCATCTGCCGAGGCCGACTAGGGCTCAAGTTCAAGTTTATCATAGCTTAAATTAGCACCCTATCACTTTTAGCTACTAGGGGAGCTAGACCTGTGAGCTCCGGGTTTAATGGTAGTGCTGAAAACTTTAAACAAAATGAAACAGTCTCCTTCTTTCTTTCTGAATAGCAGACAACTTTGGACCACCTGAAGACGGTTATATCGGTTTTTCTGGCTAACATGATTGTTTAGCTTAGTTAGCTC